TAAGCGTCGTAGCAAACTATTTGTCAAATCATTGTTCTCACAAAACTTCAACAGAAAATTTAAATAAAACTATGCTTTTTTATGCATAACAGGCAGTTTGAGTGAGATTACGAAGGAATTTGAAAAACCTCTCAAGCGTGGTATGTGAAATGAAGGTCAATGTTTTAATTTAACATGAAGTCAAAAAAAGGCATTGAAGGTGACAACGAGCACTTTATTGTCTAGGGAGGGGGGGAAAGATAATTTAATAAAAAGAAAAATGGTTTTGTCTGTGGAACATCCTATTAAAGTGATCTTTAGTGTTATATTTTAAAAGGAAATTGGTGAATTGAGATGGAACTTGCCAAGGCTGAAGAAGGAGGAATAGTCAGAACACAGTGATAAGGATGAACTGGACAGGAACATCAGTTCTGTGCACAGAGGGAAGAGGATGAATCTTGCAAATGCTATGCAGGTAAAATTTTCAGGCACATCTCTAGTTCCCTCACATCTGTCTGAATGAAAGTAAAATTGCAGTTAAGGGTATCAAGTCAAGGCAGGAAATTATATTCTGTAGAAATGGAAAAAAGGATGCTGAATTTGTTTGGTCAATACTGAACTTACCTGATGGCTAAACACCCATATGGATGTGTCAGATCTACTGATATCCTAGTTTGGTCAGAAAAACATAGTGATGCATGTGGAAAAAATCAGAGTTGTCAACATTTGTAGAAAAGTTAGTTTATTTTTTTGTGTAAATTGGGTCATATGTAGGTGAGGGGTCATATGTAGGTGAGGTGTAAAGAAGAGAAAGACATGGGAAAGAGTCTTGTTTTGGAGTTGCTGAAGAAAGTTGAAGGTGAAATGGCTGTCTTCTAGAAAAGAGTGCAGGACAATAGCAAGGAAAAGCAAAAGACAAGTACCAGTACAAGCTGTGCACAGCCCAAGAATTAGCTTGGAATTTGATGCTTTTGCTGTCTTTCATCATTCAGCAACAATGAAACAAGATTTTTGTATTGTCTTGATGTTTTAGTATTTTCCATTTTTGTAGCCCTTAATGTTTCTCTCAGCTAGCTCATCTCTTGCTGTCTTTTAAATGAGATCTGTACATATTTCAGCATTGAGATCCATGTACCATAACATCAAGAGTTGTTCTGGTTTTCATGGGTACCAATACAGTGTTTTGCCTGCAGATATTAGTTTTTCAAATACAGCTGTAGGTCAGACAGTTCTTTTCTTACAATCTTTCTTCTGATCTATTCACTGTTATTTCATCAGCGTGTTTGTCTCTTCCACTTTTTCTAGTTTGCTTCCAGCTTTGAATTTGACAATATTCTGTTTGTTTCCCATTGTTAACTATTTTGTGTTTGGCAGTGATTGACTTCCATGTGGTTTTGGTTTCCTAGTCTTCTGTTTACTTAATGTTGAGTGTAGTAGCATTAACTTCCAATCTCGACATCTGCATTTTTACTGTAACAAACTCATTTGCTTCAAAGCCTGCTTTAAAGCAGGAAGCTAATTAATGATTCTATATTGCTCTAAATAAAGTTTGTTTTTCTGTAAGCAGCATCTCCAAGTCCTTCATTTGTGCTTTGCCATTCCCTAATGAACGCTCGCGAAACTTGCTATCATTACATTCCCTTGTGTCACTCTGATGGGATAGGTACTGCTTTGCTATGTGTGTTTCTCTCATTCTTGTACTAAGGTTGCGTACTTGGTGTTTTCTGGTTGCTCTAATTTGGTATTCATAACTTCACAAATTGTTTGCATGATAGCAGAGATCAGAAAGCACTAAGATAATAAAATTGTAGAGATCATTAACAACGGTTGGAAATTCTGGGAAAGGGAATTAACGAAAAATGGGAACGGTTTTCAGGCTGTAGGATGCTGAAATATATTTGTAGTCATAGCAGGAGGAAAAGGGAGCCTAAGAAGGGGAAGAAGTATAGCAAAGAATTGATCGAGATAACAGTGCAGAGCTCCTTGATTAGGAAAAGTAGGGATGCTTTTCATACAAAATCTACATTCAGAATTGTCCTGAGAAACTGAGCAGGAAGACTGCCTTCTTGCAGCAAAGTGTGTCTGTATATGTATGTAATATATACATTTATGTGTAGAAATACACAAGTCTGAGAAATACAATGAGAAACAACTTGAATGTATTCAATTACAATGACAACTTATTATTTTTAAAGAAGTCTTTAAGTGGGCTACAAAATACTTCGATGGACTGTAAAAAAACTAAACCAAAATCAACCCACAATAAAAATTGTTGATTTAGTCCTTGCCTTTTTCACTCCTATGGCTTTTCTTCTCTGCTTGTGGTAATGAGCCCCTGGTATTGTAGGTGCTCACCTGCTCCACAGTCATTGAGAGGTAAGTGCTGACGCTTTAGGAGGGGAACTCCTGTTGGCCATCTGGCACCTGAGCCTGCTTCCTTCTGCTCCAGGAGAGGCAGCAGAAGGGAGTAATGGCTGAAGCATGCTCAGGGCTTTGGAGAGGGAGTGGTGGGGTCTGGTTCTGCCTTTTTCTGTTTCTCCAGAGAATGTAATTATGCATCTTCTCACTGTTTGGAACTGGGATTGAGTGAACTGTCAGTGGCTTTTGGTAGGGACAGTCACAGGTATCTCTGACTTTGGTTTTTACCACTCCATGAAATCCTTCAAGCATAATAGAAAAATGACTTTAATTAGACAGTTAATGTCAGGTCCCTCAACATAAGGTTGAAGTCCATGGATATATGCTTGTAGAACTTTCCTTTTGGCCGCTCTATGCCTTCCTTATGCACCTGTATTCCAATTTGGCTGGTAGTAGCAGATGGAGAGTGAAGAAGGATGTCTTGTTTCCAGAAACTTGGTATGCACCAAGGAAAGAAAGGGATTTTTGAGTTGTATGGGTTCTAAGTCTCATTAACTGTCATAACTATACCACTAGATAGCGTGAGAGAAGATGTCATTCAGATACTTCTGGTGAAATTTCAGCATCGTAGGTATGTTTACTAATATTTTTAATTTTTTCATCATTATTTTATTACCATTTTATTATCTTTTACCTTTGATAAAAATCAAGTTATATGAGTTTTGTTTTGAAAACCAGATCATACAATAAGGCATATATAGCTTTTGATCTGCTCTGTAGTAATTTGTGAAAATTGTGCTTGCTCATCTCTGTGCCTCACTGTTCATACAGCATTCCTCCTGCATGACTAGTGAATTTCTGTGCCAGGATACTGCTGGAGCAGGAGGAAAGCATGGAAAAGGAAGGGCTTAACATAAGCCATTTCTCAGCAATAACTAAGAGTTTGTGTTTCCTGTATACACCACAAGTTGCTAAGTTTTAAAATGAAAGCATCTCAAAAAGACTTGTTTTTTGAAGCACTGCTGAACATGAGAAGCAATGGACTTGTGCCAGTCTGAGGTAGAAGGCTGTTGTGTTGCACATGCAAAGTGAAGGCAGAAGGTGTCATTTCTTGTGATGCACACCACTAGAGAGCAGGAAAGGGAACTTCTACGTGCATTTCTGATGTCTGTGTCCAAAAACGGCTCTTGATAGTTTTTACTGTGCATGTACCTTCTCAAGTCAAACCACTGTTCCTTCTACCATTAATTGCCCGATCTGACAACATAATGTTGTCCTTGACTATTTTATGATATCTACTGCATTGATTCAAAACACAGCCCATGAAGGAAGTTCCTGTTTCATTATGTGAACAATGTGGTCAGCAGGCTTCCGGACAGGCCCAGGTTTCTCAAGAGTCTTATGAAATGGTAAACAAGCATGGATTTGTCATGTGTATTACTTAATTAACCTGAAAAAAAAACCTCCAAAATTTTGAGTTTTATTCTCAGGATCTTGTGTATCACCTTATGAATAATGTAAAAATACTACATATTAATAACTAGTAGTAATTTATTTTATGGGATTCTTAATTGTGAGTTTGATATTCTGATACTTCTTTGCTGTTTTCCCTCTATTTTTCCCCAGGTGTTTATTTTTAATATGTTGACTATACCTACTCAGAAATGAAAACACTTATATTGTGAAATAAAATACTTACTTAGAGGAGGGAAATACAGGAATTAATGGAAGCACTCAACAGGTCATCAGATGATGTCCTGAAAAAGGACATCAAAAGTTGCTGCTGAGAAAGACACTTATAAAATTCTTAGCTTTATGTGACTGGCATACTGCTGTTAACTGGAAGTTTGAAAATGTATTGAGACAAAGTACCTTCTGTAAAATCCTTTCTAAAAAGGGCTTATGAGGTCAGATGGCAATTGGGTTAGAGCAGTAAAGTGGTTTTTGAGCTAAAGTGTCAATTTGCTGCTTTCTGTGGTATCACAAGCTCACAAATTCCCATAATCTGTTCCTTAGGGTGTATTTCCTCTCCCTTTTCGAGAAACTTTGGACTTGGTTTAGTTACTAAGAAAAAAACACTCAACTAGACAGTTTCCAAAAGTCACAGGTCCTTATTTAATATCAAGCTGTCTAGACTTAGACTGGCATGTGGGTCTTACTGTCTCTGTCTTTGAACACAGAACTTTACTAGTCTCAGTAGTATAATGGACCTCTGCTATAATTTTGCACAAGACAGCACTGACTATCCTTCCTGCAATTGCTCCTAAACTTATTGGCCACATAAGTGGAAGGTAGTCTGTTCTCTGTGTGTGTAATAAACTGCTGGTGCAATAAGGAATACAAGCATTAGGGTGCAACTATTGAAAAAAAAAAAAAAGAAAGCTCATATCTGATATGCATCTGGTAACTTGAAATATTTTCTGTTACAAAGACCAGACATTGGTGTCATTCTGATCTGTCACCTCTGTAAACCTTAAGTTATTTGCACTGATAAAGTTGATTTTGGATACAGTGAATAAGAACAGAATTTGAACACTGCAAGAGGAAGAAATGAAAAAGCTGCATTACTAAAAACAAAGTTCTTGTTAGCTTAGCATCCCCAATCTTTTGCAGCATTCATAGGTAAAGTATTCTTCCTTCATGATAAAACAAAACCCACAAAAACAGGTTTAAACTTGATTTATTGAAAATCTCAGTTTTGCATAATTATTCGACATCTGCAATTCTTAAAACATTAAATTCTGAACAAAAAGTCCATTAAGAAAAAAATGTAGACTTATATTCTCCTTTGTAGATTTTATACAATCAAAAGCAATGTACTCTTCAGAATCCACATGAAATGTTTCTTAACTGCAAGTTTACATGCCAAATCCTTCACCTATGATAAACCTATTCCAGCTGCCAAAGTCAATGCACAGTTACCTTTCTAATTATTCCCTCTTTCATTTTCTATAGTTGAATTTGAATGAGGAGAAAATACAGTCAGAGCTCTCAGCTGCAAAACAATAACTTCTTCCAGATGAACTCTGCTGACAATTGTTGCGCTATTTTCCTTCTACCAGAGATTGTTTTTTTGTAATGGGAGAAACTGAACTGCAGCAGTCCTGTGTCTTTGATCAGAGCAGTCTGCATTCATTAGCAGGTTAAACTAACACACCAAACTGTTTCACCACTGTCAGAGAGGCACAGCAGAGCAGCTGGGGGACCTAATCTCTTAAGGTGTGCTTGGAAAACTTGGCAGAGCTTATCTGTTGGAGTTTTGAGCTGAAATCTATATCTAGTAGCTTTGATAGTAGAGGTAGATGTCTCATTTGCAGCTTCCCAGAGCTGGTTCAGCATTTTGCAGATGGTTTGTAGCATCACAGTCATGGTGATGCAAGCAAAATTAACTCCAAGTTATAACTGGTACTGAGAGAGGGACAGGGAAATGGCAGGAAAACATTATTTGCCACTCTAGCTGAAAGAATTATTTTTTTTCCTAGCCTTTGTCCTGATCACAGAAGTAAGCTTTCTAATTCCAGTTTAGAATACAAAGCATCATATGGAAATAAGATATGCAATACCCTAAAGGCATACAGTCTTATTTTGGACAGAGCTTTGCAGAAAGATGAAGTAGCCTTTGGAGCCCTCTGTAAGTTCTGTAATAATACTTTTGCTTATAAAAACTATTTAGAAATATTATTGCTAGGTCCTGTTGTCTGCAGTTGAAACTGAAGTGCTGTTTCTATGTTCTATAGCCCTTGCTAGCATCTGCTTCATTTGAACAAAATGTTTCTTCATGCACCTATTGACCCTGTTTTATATCCATAAAATAATTCTTAATCACAGAAAGACCCAAAGTTACAATTCTGCCATTCATACCTAGATGGCCCCACAACAGGCACAACACGACTACATACACTTTTTTTAAAACACCTTTTAAAAGAGTGTTTTTAAGAAAGTTTTTAAAAAACCTGTGATGAAACGTAGTTAACACATTTATACAAGAAATTTCAATGACTTGGCACATTGTAAAAATTACTAAGTTGGATATATTAAAAAAAGTTAATTCTCATGCACCAGAGGTTTTGGCAGAAACTCTGTACCTCACTACAGTGTTAAAAGTCTCTTCATCCAAAAACTACAAATTTCTGATTTGATATTAGCTTTGCCTTAGTCAAGTGATACTGCATATTCAGTTGATCATACAGCTTGAAGCCTATACTTGCTGCTCCCTGTAATTCATGCTTTATTCATATGAACAGCTAAATATAGAAACAGAGTGTACTTACACAGCTAAAAGACTTGTGAGGGTGAGCAAGAAGGGAAAGTTTTGGTGAATAGCTTTGGTTTTATATGCCTATGTAAGTCACCCTATTAATCGTTACATTAGTCACAGCTGTAGTAGACAAGAACAAACAAAAATATATTGGCAAATAAGAGGGATTTTGAGACTATAAAAATCAATGTTTATGTAATGTTTTGGCATACTGTGACCTCTGCCTTTATTAAAAGGAAAAACATGAGAAATTACTTTTTTTAAAGTTATCTATTACACAAGTTTACAGTAAGGAAGAATTTGCAAACCATACTTCAAAGTGTGTGTGTATTTGTTTGTATAGCATGTAGTCGCTTGTGTCACATAACAGCCAAAGAGGAAAAAAAAGGTTGTGCAACTACAGGACAGAATGATTTATGAACAGGAATTGTACCTATTTTCTCCAATTCTTTTTAACACTGACTCAATTTCACATTGATGGTGCTTTTTTAAAGTGCTGATATTTGTAATTTTTATATAAAAAGAGTTCTCATGTCCTTACAATGTTAGCCCAGTGTTTCTCCATGATGCCATAGAACAAAAGATGAGGATTTTTAAAAAACGTAATTTTGAAGATAAATGACAGTAATTACAAACTATCCCTGTGGGCCCCAATCCTGTAAACACTTAGGCACATAGGTAAATTCACTCAGTATTTAACAGCAAATAAACCAATGTCTAAGTTACTAAAGTTTTATGTGAAAATGAAAAAAATGTCAGTATTAACATTACTTTGCAAATGCACCAGGTGTGCTATGCATAAGGTAGTCATTAACAGTCATTGACAAATCATACAAGTACAAAAAATATTGTTAGTAGCATTTGGAAAATGGGAGAGCATGGGGTGAGGCATTGTGTTCATGTTTAAAAAAACAAACAAACAAACACCACAAAAACCTACAGAAAACCCCCAAACACAAACAAGACCACCACCATCACAACCAAAAAGCCCAAGATGAATTGAAAAACCTGATTTTTACTGTTTGTTCAAAAGAATCTGAAAGGGGTCTTTTTTTTTTTTTTTACTGTAGTTTATTGCTCCCCCTCTCCTCTATACCTGTTACTATTGGTATGATCAATACTGAATATTAAGTTCTACTTTTCCTCTTATCTTCAAAAAGACTTTTCAACATGTAAACCTGAACGGCCGACACCACCACCATGACTCCCAGGTTGACCATGGACCAGAAGTTCACTCTGTCAAAGTTGCTCTCTTGTATATTGCGGTCACGGGCCTCAAATGCTCTGAGCAGGGTCTGAATCTGGACACTTTTGCTTAATCTGGCTTTGACGCTGTTGATGGATTCCTGGTAAGTAATAAAAGAGTATTGTTAGAATCAAAACCAACACCTGAATTAAATGTATACCTTGCAGCACATACAAATATATTAATACTATATTACCACACGTAATTTCATTTCTTGGCCAGTATATCACCTAAAAAGCCTTAATTAACAAAGCATTAAGGTTTTGGAGTAATCTGTTTTTTCCCTTTTATAGGCTAGGGAGGTGAGAGAGAAATCAAACCTATTTGGACAAATAAAAAGCAGTGAATTCTTCAGAACTAGTCTCAAAACAAGTTATGTAGTGGCAGACAAACGTAGGTTTTTTTTCTGCTGAATAACAAAATTACAGTGCTTTTTAATGCAAACTACCTTCAGGGCTATAGATGTTGCTAAAGGAAAGTACAATAATGTCTGCTTCTGGTGCTTCCACTGTAGTGGCTATAAACTGCTGCTTCAGCTTTGATACAAACCAGAATTTTGACAATAAATTGTGACTAGGACAACTGGAGGTCCTGCAAAGGACATACAGTGTGTCCCTGGGAACTAGAGGAAGCGCAGGAACCTTCGGGCTATGAGGACAGCAGCAAGAGGTGCACCTTATTCTCAAGTTACAAAGTAAACACCGGGGCCTAAGGTCTGTTGAAGTTTCATCCACCACGTAATAGATAATAACAACATAAAAGCTCATCTCATGAAGTGCTGATTTGTGTTCTTCGTATAATTTTGGGACCCTGAAGTAACTTCTAGCGAGAAGAGTAATGCGTGCAGTAACAGGAAGCTATAAATTAAGAAAACCCCACAAGGTTAAACCCAACAGTAACATTTTCTCCATGGACATTTTCTATGTTGCATGGTTAATAAAAATATTTCCAAGTAGCTAATTTGGGGAGCCAAATAGTTTTATGATGATAAAGTTTACTGTTACACAATAAGGAACATCAACACCATAAAAAAGCTTTAAAAATAAGACATAATTCACTGTTTTCCCCAGAAAACATGTGATTATTAAAAAGTTAAACTACTAAATGTTTTTTTGTAAATCCTCAGAGACCTTGCAAGGAAAGTAATATCTTGACTAAGTAAACAATGGCATTAAATACTAATGTTAGCATTACAAAAATTACCTGCTTTTATAAGATTTTCAAGGCTCTCAAAGACAAGTTCTATATTTATTTTTCTTTTGGAAGAGATACCAGTATGTAAACAAGTATCTGTCAAATACATTTACGTATTGTGATCAATGTGAGAGAGATTTTCTTTACAACTTCGCCTATTAACTTTGGTTTTTTCTAATTGTCTTGACTGCCACTTTTAATGATCTAGCCAACTCTTCAGATTCTGTATTTAGTTTTATTACTATTTAAAAGTGTATCATAACCTATAAAAGACTTTAAACATTGTCTTTTATTTAAAAATCTGCATTTTGTCTATGGCAATAAATAATACAAACAATGTAATTTTCTACATAGTGTACTCAGTAAGTATATGTGGATGTTGGTTTGGTTTTTTGGATTTTTTTTTTTTTAAGATACCAGTTGTAGCTACGATCAAACAAACAACAGGTCGCTGCATCCTACCAAGCACTAAGAACAGTGGAACACCGAACAATCCTTTGCTTCTAGAGTAATCTCAACATTTAATGATCTTAGAGGGAATAAAAACTTTGACTCAGCAGTACTCTGAATCTTACATCAAATAGGGTCAGCATCCAGTTTAAGGAAACATAATCATTCAAAGAATGTCTGCAAAGCTGAACCCGTGGTGTGATGCAAATTAACTCCTGTTTATTAGTTTGAAAAGATGTAATAAAATTTGGGGGCAAAAGAACTAATAGAGTAATATCTAAGTTATTGAAGATAGAAATATTAATCCGTACTACTTTATTTTCAAACATTGATAAAAATCTATGCAGTGGTTCCAACTACATCGAGATGAAGTAATACTTTAATGCTATAAATATTCATTGCTGCTAGGGAAAAATGTCCCATTTTAGCAGTAGGAAGAAAGGAAGCTGAATTGGAAATAGAGTGACTTTGAGACCTAGGCAGTTTCTTCTTGCTGATGAAGGGCCTATTGTGAAAATATTTTCAAATTTCTGTTTGTAAGCAAGAGACCCGTGGTGCTGAGCTTCTTGTATTAGTAACTGGAATAGTTTCCAGGATGACACACCAGACCAAGGCAGAATGGCTACATGATACTTGAGTTTTTTTCCAAATGTTCTTACATGGAAAAGAATTAAAGATCAATACTAACCAGAATATCTTCCAATTTCATATCTAGGAGATCTGTTCCTGTAACATATTTCTTCCAGTCTTCCTGATCTTGTCCATCTTCTCCCATATTGTCCAGGATCAGTTCAAAGAAAATTACCTTTTCAGAAATGGTACTGAATGTGTTGTCAAAGCAGAACATGTAATCCCCATCTTCTGTTTCCACCCTGTGTATATAAGCAAAATGTGATTAAATTAACTATTCTGGTTCTCAAAAAGCGAGTTTTTGTAAGCAAAGTTTCCCCTTTAAGACTGACAACTGTGCATTCAAAATAACCAAATATGCTTTTTGTATAAAAATAAGAACTCTAGGGACATTTTACAGATTGCACAGTCACAGCAAAACAATCCCACTGGCTATAAAGGCTCAAAATGATGAAGACAGCATTTTTCTTTTTGGGGATTTTGAATTATTGTTAATCACTACAAAAAACCTATAACGAGTGGAATTCTTATACTCTATAGTAAAATTGCAACAGCTATTACACATTTCGATAAAAGGATTGGAAAAATATGGGACATTAGCTTCTTATTTATAAGACTGACAAGATCTTTTGATATTAGATGTGGAGACCTTTTTCAACTCCACAATAATTATTTTTGTTCACCGACCCTTAACATCATTAAAACAAAAATATCCTTTTCTTCACGGTACGTTCCATGTAAAAAGCATTCAGTGTTTATAAAAAGAAAGTTGGTATTCTCAAACTGTCCTATTAGAAAGTCTTTTCTAATACTAAGGAATAAAAAGTACTCAACCTTTACTTTAGTTATATTTGTTAAAGAAACCAGAAAAGTACTTCATGTAACACTTCTGAGTTTGAGTATTTTAAACTTACGTATGAACTCCATCTGATTTTCTTTCATCAAAAACTAGAGTTTCACCTTTTGGAGACAGCAGATGAAAATCAACATCTAATCCTGCTCCATCTAGAACCTGTGAAACAAACAAAAAATGAAGCTCCAACCAGTGGAATTCCTGTTTGCACTGCTGATGGCAACGTTTTTAGGTAAGGGAACTGACACATAAAGAACCTGAAAGACTAATCTGTCTGTATAAGTTCACACCGAGTTAACTGGAAACAGATTAAAAACTGGTTCAACCCAAAAGCATTTTAGCAGTTTCAAAATCTTAAACTAAATATGAACTAATTTTGCTAGGCTAGGCTTATATTGAACCTTTCCCGAAATACTTTTAAGAATGCATACAGTTTTATCAATGGGCAACCTGTAAAAATACCAACAACAGATGCCTAAATTTGGCCTTTCTATGGCAGACATAATTGATTGGTAAGTACTAGCACTAGTTCAGTGGCAGAAATTTGATAACAAAAGTCACTCCTATGTATATGCACATATATACTTGTACAAGAACACTATGCACTGTCATCCCCAAGATCTCTTTGTTGGGTGAATTAACAGTGTAGAAGACAGGACCAGACTTCTTACGCCAATCAAAGGTGTACCACAGACGTTCTCACCTTCTGATGCAGATTTAAGGTCTCTTAACTGCATAAGGGGGCAGACAGGGATCATTTTTATGACATTACTTAGGTCCACGCTAGGGGATTTTTTGTTTGCCTGTCTTCCAGAGAGCTTTTTGAGTACAGCAGTCTGCTCCTGCTGAAATGGAGGGCGAAGTTTACGCTGACTCAAAGGGGTACTGGGAAGCAGAGGGGGGAGAAAAGGGAGGGGGGGAAAGAGAGATCCGGGCACAGTAGCGGGGTGGGAAAATATTCACTGCAGCTTTCCGCACTGTATCTATTCTACTGCAAAAAAGTCTTTGTTTTACGGACAGGAAAAAAGGCCTGAGACAGAAATCTTTCCCAGACATATTTAGGAGACTCAACTCTTCCCAAGAAGACATCAAGACCTTAATTTCAGTCTAGTTAAACAGGGCTGGTTTTGTAAAACTTTCATCACTGTAATGAACGGTGTTTTAATATCAACACAAAGATAGACAAGTAGGGGCTCTGTGCATCAGTACAATGTTCCTTACGCTTTAAAGGTCACATCCGTGAACTTCCTACGTTTTGCCGTTTTAAAGGATAGCGACTTGAGACCTTGGAAAGTGTTAAAAAAAAATCTGCCAGCATAACTACAAAAGGCCGTTCAGGTAATTTTGTCCTCCCGAGGCACAGCTTTTAACAGTACGATTCCAGCGTGGCTCTGCGGCAGCTGGCGGGGCTCCCCCGCCCAGGTCTGGCCGCTGCTCGAGGCAGGGCACGGCCCCCCCCCCCGGCTCCCGCAGCAGCGCCGCGGCCCCGGAAAGCATGACGGAGCGGACGGAGCGCCCGGAGCGGGGCTGGACCGAGCCGCTGCACAGGGGCACCGGCGTGGACACGGCGGGATGCGGGACCCCCGCTCCCCTCCGGACACTCCCGCCCTCCCTGGGCGGCCCCGGCCGCGTCCCGTCCCGTCTCGTCCTCCACCCCCCGACCTGGTACTCGAGCTCCAGCGAGGCGTCCCTGCGCATGGGCTGGTAGAAGCACTCCTTGCGGCCGGCGGGCAGCGTGAAGGTGAAGTCGCTGTCGAGAGAGGGGCTGAACTCGGCGGCGCGGGGCGGCGGCAGCAGCAGCGCGAGGCACCCGAGCGGCACCAGCAGCAGCCGCGGCGCCATCGCGGCCCCGACCCCGCGCGCTCGGCCGGGGGCGGGGCCGCCCCGCCCCCGCCCCTCTGCACCAATCGCAGCCGCGGCGCCGCCGCGCCCCGCCCGCCCACAGTGCACCGCGGCCGCCCGCGCTGACCCCGCCCACAGCGCGTCTAGGGCGGCGGGGCCGCGCGTGCGCCGTGTGGGACCCGCGCGGTTCGAGCGCAGGCGGGGGGGCTCCGGCGCGGCTGTGCCGGGAGAGGGGCGGGGCCGCACCGGCACCGGGGCTGGGCCCGACACCGACCTGTGGGGGGCCGCGGGACGGTCTTTCCCTGCCGCCCCCGTCCCAGCGCCCCGTGCCTCAGTCCTCCGCCAGCCCGGGCCCCTGGCGGGGTTCCCGCGGCGCTCTCCGCCCGGCGCTGCTCCCCCCGCGCCGCTCGGCGCTGCCCGTCCGCCCGAGGATATTTTGCTTTCGTTTCTCGTTTCGCTGGTCACTGGCAGCGAGGCAAGTTTTGCTCGTTGGCGTGTGCGCCGTTCCCGTGTCGGACTCCCCGGGAGCTCCGAGGTCACGGCGCTGGCTCTGTGTGAGGGAGTTTTGGCAACTAATGTATAGCGGGCTTTTCCAGTTTTCCTATATTTTTTTGTATTTCTGTCTCCTCTCCACCTTCTTTTGGTATCTTTAAAAATATCTTTGAAAATAGTTTTCGCGTATGTTTAACAGTGTTTTAATATTAAATATGATTTTAGCTATATGTGTGGTACCAATGGAATGTACTAGGTGGACTTGCTCTAAAAGTGGTACTGATGAAGATCTGCTTGCAAACGTTCAGTTATTACAGAATCAGCTGAGGAGAACTGAAAAAAACCTTCAAACAGTAGAGAAAGAGCTTTCCAGGTATGTGTGTGTTTGGGAATGAGAACTGTCTGTCTCTCATAGTGTGAATCTGTCTTGTTCAGTGTAATGGATTACTGCAATTAGCTCCTTTTGTGCTTTCCTTTCAACGGTCTTGAATAAACACCCCTAATAAGCAACTTAATAAAGAAAAACTGGAGTAGTAACTTTTCACTCTCCCTCCTAACACTAGTACAAATGAACATTATGGCCACTGCTTTGCTGAGGCGACAGACTTCGCTCTGGAGGATTTTGTACAGCCTAATTATAACAGTCAAGGCTTTTCCAACCCCAAGAAGAATTGTGGTAAAACATCTGACCAAGATTTTCAAAGAAAACCCAAAGTAAATATTGCTCTTTATTACTTCTTATTATTACTTTGGTTTTCTAATCTTTGCTATGTTTCTGGATGTTTTTTGGCTGGTAGGGCTTGGAGTGGATACACTGTAGCACTGGACAATGATACCAATTGAGCACTCTTAAACATAATATCGTTTCAATATGGTTTTTCTGCAAAGTTTCCATTATGACCTTTCAGTGCTTGAAGGAGGTTTATAAGAAAGATGGGGACAAAGTTTTTAGCAGGGCCTGTTCCAATAGGACAAGGGGTAACGGTTTTAAACTGAAAGGGGATCAGTTTAGATTAGGTGTAACAAGTAAATTTTTTACTATGAGGGTAGTAAAACATTGGCACCAGTTTTCCAGAGTGGTGTTAGATCCCCCATCCCTGGAAACATTCAAGGTCAGGTTGGACAGGGCTCTAAGCAAGTTGATGCGGTTGAAGTTGTCCCTGATCATTGCAAGGTGGTTGGACTAGATGTCCTTTAAAGGTCTCTTTCAACCCAAACTATTTATGATTTTATGATGTATATATTGCTTATGTGTTCATATATAAGTGTGTGTGTATATATAAAAATATATTTTTGTGTCTAGTCTTACTCAGTATCCACAACTTCGGATAAAACTGTGGAAGAAAATGAACGTCTTCAAGAGCAAAATGCATCTTTGACTTCTCAGAACCACTACCTAAAGAACAGAGTGGAAACAATGAACTTTGAATTGATGCAGTCAAAAACAAAAGTATGTATCTTTAGCATATTTATCAAAAATAAAAACAAACCCCAACCCCCCCAAACATCCCAATGACCATGACTTTTGAGTTTATAATTCTAAGCAGAATATGCTATTTTTTTGTCTTATCTTAATCTAAGTTTAATATTTAATATGTATTTAATATTCAGTATTAATCTTGAACAGAATATTTTGGAATCTATTTCTCCATGGGCAAAACAACTATATTAATTATGAATTCTAGCTATTCATGTTCCAAAGTTTAGTATAAAGCCAGTAAGCCATAGAATGAAAAACACATTATGAAAGAAAATAGTTCAGTATATGTATTTAGTACTGTACATTCACATGTCTGAGCTACATTGAGATTAATGTGAATAATAATGGCACAGTAGTCATTTGCAGAGGAAATGAAGAGTTAACCTCATTAATCCAAATTAATAAATTAATAAGTGAAGATGGATTAGAAAGAAATATTATATCTAATAAATCATTACTGATTTAGTATATACTTGTCTGTACAGGTTTGTTTCGTGACAATTGTATTCTTGTATTTGGTTTGTATATAATGTTAAGAAAACATAGGTATGCTTAGTGCTTTTCGTTTGAGAAATGTTATCTCCAAGACAAAGCAAATAAATAGATAAACAAAACATTTGACTGCCTGACACTGAAAGAAGAAATAGTTGAATGTAAACTTTTTGGGAAAAGCAAGAGACTGGACATATAAAGAAATTCCTCTGCTAGACAGCATATCACATTGGAACTGGAAGGGATGTTAAATGAGCAGAAAATTGGAGGTCAGTTGGTGTAGATGAGCAAAGGTAATTTACAGTAGGGTTAAGAGCACTGTCATTCAGTAAGCAGATTGTTCTTAAGTGTATCACCTGAAGATATATATGCAAGTGTTAATGCAACCCCAATTATGTTTGTATTTCAGATTTCGTTTCTTGAATCTACTTTAGGTACACATTTATTCAGCGTTCCGAAGTTGAAAGAACAGATTTTAAACTTGGAAGCAGAAGTTTCAGCTCAAGATAAAATTCTGAAGTAATAAGTGTACTTTTAAATCAATGTTTTATTGTTGTCTGCTTGCTAGTCCAATCTCTTTTTTGGGATGACATAATTACTGGTACTGTGTGAGTCATGTAATCTGGGGTCTGAAACTTTCATTTCAGAGCCAAATATAGGAAGAGGGAGGTGATCTATTTTGTGCTGAATGTACTTCAAGAAATTCAGAAAAAATTATAAAGGCTGGTGGAAGAAACCGGGTTATAATGTGTGCTAAACACAAATATGCCCTGATAATTGAATAGAGGGATTCTGTGCTGCATGACTGCATATATTCTGCTGTAGCAAGCATACATATTTTCAAACATGATGGTGCACTTTGTGATATAAAGGTTCAGCCACCTGGGTCCTTGGCAGTTGTGACACCTGATGCCTATTGATGAGGTTTGGACACCAGACTGCAGACATACTGCTGGGGAGTCTGGAGACTGGGGGTATTCCAAGCCTAGTCTAGAGAGATGCAGCGTGATTGACTAGTGCTTCTCAAACATCATGTGCAGAAAAGAACAACAGAAATCTATTTTCTTGACAAAAAAGTTCCTAATTTTTTTATTATGCTTTATTTATTTGCTAGAGATGCAGAATATAGACTAGATCAAAACCGGAAAACAGCACTGGAAAGAGAAAACATGTTGCAAAGATATCAAAAGGGCTATAAAAATCTGAAAATGGAGTTAATTGAACAGAGCAAGCAAGGAAAGAGGTACTAAGTCATTTTAATAAATGGAATACAGAATAATAAGTGTGTGCTTATTTCCATTGATAGTTATTTATTCTGTGGAATCAAGTTACTTTTCTGCTTTAAGCATGTTATTTTTTAAAAAAGGGGAAATTCTATGTGAAGGTACTGATTATTTAAACAGGCACATTTAAAATCTTGAAATTAGCTGGTAATTGCAGACTGATACTAGTAACCAGTTTATCAGCTGCTTTTTTCCCTTCAGGACAGATGTACTGCAGGGGAGAGCTGAAAAGTGTCCAGAATATATTTTTCCTGAATTATTTTTGTCTTTGTCTTGCAAGAACCTACAATCCATGCTCAGTATTCAGCAGTACTGAGTGCTGTGTTTTTGGGGTTGATGCAAGGAAAGTGATAAAGGCGCAACATAATCGAGAGAACATTTTTGTTATCCTTAATCTTACTTGTCTGTATGGTACTGTTGAAAAGGGTTCTGTAATTCTGTCTCCATCACTGTTTTCCTTTCCTATTGCCTCCTTTAGCCTAACGGCTCTGTGGCTACTGGGAGGGTTAGCTAATTTCTTTAGACTGTTAAAAGTTACCATGTACAGTCCTATCACTTCCAAAATGTCATTTTAAAAAAGTGAGAGGATTAAATAAAAAGATTCCTATCTACCCTATTCATTTAACTCCATTACCTGGGGCAAAAATTAGCTGATTACTTGGGAAAGCATTTCTTGAACCTTTTGAATGCAAACTCTTTGTTTGGTTTGTGTATCTACCCATAAAATTACCTCTAACGTTCTTATAGCAAGACAAATGGAAATACTGTGGGGCTTGCACTGCTGATTGAAGAAATGTGTTGCTTTATGATCACCATTCAGAGCATGTGGGGTTGGAGCTACCTGTACTTAGTTACTAGTTGCAAATGTAAATATTTTGGTGCTTAAGAAAAGTTGAGCCTCTGCCAGGTGTTAAAGGCAAGTGTTATAGCTAGTGTTATTATTATAGTTTTCTTTTAATCATTAATTGCCACAACTTACTATTCTTTGGCCAGGGAAACTGAAGTGCTTTAGACTAACACTGTTTTGTTATTCTGAAATCCTTTTATCCCCTTCTCTGAATACTTTTGCCATCTCCAGATGGATGGTGGTCCTCAGACTGAGAAACACTGCTCTGAGGGTTGGCCGTACTTAGAGGAGGCACTGCCCCATGTCCACATCTCCCTTAGTGGAAGAGAGAAATGTTATTGAGCAGCAGTAATTCTTTGTGTGCCTGTGTTGGGTGTCCTGAACAGACTGCTTACCTGAGGTTACTGCTCCAACTTCTTCCCTAGTGAGTAACAATAGGGGAAGGGGCAGGAGCGTGGTGATAGAGGGAAATACTAGGGATTGTTCTTTTGAGCAGTTTCTCGCATGATATCTATGCCTTGGAAAATTAGATGAGGAAAGGAAGTACCTGGAGCAATTACTTTAATAATTGTTTTTAGTAACTGGAGGAGATAGTTACATAATGGCTGGAATTTGTGGTTTTTGAAATTGGTCTGCTTCTTTGGCTTTGCAGAGCAGAACAGCAAAGAAATGAAGCTTTGTTGAACGTGAAGGAGCTGACAAGAGCTTTCAAAAAGTATAAAGCAGAAATAACTGAAAAATTAGAAAAGGTGAGAGTTTTTTCTTCACTAGTTTTTGCCATGTTTTTAAGATTTTTCATCTTCCAATAAGCAAGGCAGCTAACAGCAACAGGTTCACCAGTGAGTCAGTCATTTCTGCTTGTGAGTGGCAAAGTCCTAAGAGAGATGGGATAGGGTAAGCAACTCTTTGTGGTGATAAATTCAGTTATACAGTTTTACACTGTCTTTGCACAGTCTGGACAGTCTGCATCTTTAGAGTATCCTAATAGTGCTGTTGTTTCTTCTGTCCCCTGCTTGCCAGATGGGAATTTTACATTTTAAACATATAAGATCCTTTCAAAAGAACTGTTTTACTCTGTATGTTTAACCTGTTCAATGAAACATGAGCTAGGGGAGAGCTAAGATGAAGTCATCTCCCAAAGTTCCAGTGATCAAATTGGTAATGCTTCCTGCCTTGTGGGAGGAGAAAATACAGGTCTGAGACAGTTAACTCTGACTGAGATTTTTTTTTTTATTGGACTTCTTTCCACATGGAAGGAGATTGCCCACCATAAATATGCCCTAAAATATTAAATTTATTTTTTCCCAGATGACAAAAGAAGAAAACTTCTTTGCCCCTTTTCTTCACAACAGTGAGCAATAGAATAATTTACAGACTTCCCAGAAAGGAAAAAAAGAGCATAGTGTTTATAGTATTCTTTTAAAAATAGCCAGTTGGTCATAGAAGCTTAGTTTATTGTTGTACAGTAATGAAAAAAATTGCTTTTTAAGGTTAAAGCTGAAGAATTAGTCTTGGGAAAACGTTTAATTAATTGTGAAAAAGAAAAAGAGAAGTTGAATGAAAAATGTATCAGCTACAGAAAGGATCTAAACATCCTAGAAGAGCAACTAAGGTAACGCTCAAGGGCTTTTAAAAATCTCTGTACGGTTTTTTGAGAAGGAATTGCATGCTACAGTTGTCACTGGGAATGTGGTGCTCCATTCATGTAGTTCAAACCAATAATTTTTTCTACATTATTTTCTATAACTAATCTTTAAATGTTTTAATCCCACATGCTGCCATATATTCCCAGTAAGATGCCACCCCCCCAAGCCTTCTGGGGACATTGGTTCCCTTGGTCACTCACTGCTGCCTGTGCTCTGTGGATACTCTGGTTTCACGTGTACCTGTGCTGCTGCCTGTGCCCTGCTAATGCTCCTGCCCTGTGAGTTCCCTGGCTGGAGTGAAGGATACCCTTGGCATCCAATGGGGAGGCTGCAGTGGAGGTTGTGGTGCTGACTGCAGCTTCTGGAATGATCAGACCTGGCTTTGATGCTTTCTGTCACAACTCAAAAGTCCTTTTCCACTTACAATTTTTTATACTCCTTGTATGTTTTGTTTCAAGCTGAATGCCCCTTTTTTCAGCAGTCCTTTGTAATTCCCTCATGACTTTAATGAGGGAAGACAACCATGAGCTGGTTGTCTTTAGAGTTGTTAAGTTTGGACAAACACCTGCACAGACATTTTGGGGTATTCTATTTCCATGCATTGTCCACACTCACATTCCTGTCTAAACCGTTGTTCTTTAGGCCATTTTGGCAAGACTGGGCAGTGTGTGAACACCCTTCCGTGAGTTTGAGCCTCCTTGATAGGTCTCTGCTGATGATGTGTTGTTTTTTTTTTTTTTCTTGACTGTTCTCTTTTTTTTATGCTCAGTTACACCAGGTTTGGAACTCACCAGGGCCTTTGCTGAGCTAATTCAGTTTGGTAAACCAACAAGTACCTAAAAAAGTAAATAATTTGAGATGAGCTAAAAATACATTTGTCTCAGTGTACAAGCAGATATGAAGTATCTGTTAGGAATAGAATGATAGAGTAACTCAGTATTTTCATCCATTTTGATTTTACATATTGTTATACAGTTATTTTATCCTGTTCTTAAATTGCCCTGGCTTCTGCACAGTTAAAGCCCTTTGGTTCGTTTCCTACCAGCGACTGTCCTGGCAGTGCTCAAAACTTCATGAAGTTGCTTAAGAAAGAGAAGTTGTTGACTCTCTCCTTTTGTTTGCTGATAACACTTTCCATCTTGGTTCTTAGGAACAGTGAAAGCTTAGTAAAGCAGCAAGAACTTTTCTGTCCTTTGTATAGAGCTAAGCCTAGATTTTGAGAGGGAGGAAACTAGTAAAACAGTGCAGCTATGGTGTGTTCTGGTACTTCTAATAATGAAAATCCTCTATGTTGAGCTATACCTTTTAAATGCCTTTTTAGGCAATTAAAGGAAGAGAATAGTAGCACAAAAGAAGAAATTAAGACTCTAGAGGCAAAGAACACTGAAATTACATCAATGTTGAGTCGGTCTGATCAGAAGATCATCAAGCTTGAGAGTGAACTTTCTGAAAAAGAAAATGTGCTTAAAGAGCAAAATGCTCTAATAAGTGAAAATGCAGAGCTGAGAGCACTTACGGCACAGCAACATAACCACTTGAAATTATGTCATCAAGAAATTGAGAATTCAAGGGAAGAGCTCAACATACTAGAAACCATTATTTCTCAGTTGTCTTCAAGTACACCTGAAGAGGTACAGTAACAAATACAGACTTAGAAGTGTATTATGTGTTGAATAATTTTAAGAATCAAGTTATCCAAACTTTTAACATTCTGGCATATGTGTCTTAAAATTTATATACTGGTATAATACCTTAATTAATCATGCTGTGAAGCAATATAAAATTGATTTTTCATTGATCTTTGTTTTCCCTTAACTTTTAGTTTAAATGGCACCATTTCAAACACCAGCTTTTGAGTTCCTCAACAAAAGAAGTTATCTCAGAGTCTTGTGGTGAATCAAGTAAACCTTTGATTGCAGACCTAAGGTATAACTTTCTGGTTACTGAATTATGGCAAGAATAGGCAGATAATAAGGTGGTATTAGAATTAGGATATAGAAAGAATGTTAAAGTTGTCTTCTCCTTTATAATAGCATTAAACTGTCAATGAAAGAAGCTGAAATTCAAAAGCCTCGTGCAAACTTAACTATCTGTACTGGAGCTGAGCATCTGTCTAATGATAATGAAGGACAAGAAAATAGCAGGTTATGTGGCCTGGAAACAGAGCCTGTCAAATTGATCAGAAGTCAAGGAGGTAAGCTTTCTGAAATAGCTGTGCAGTTCTGTCTGATTAATCCACAGAACAGAAATGTTCTGGTGGGGTTTAAATTGTTTTTATAGTTTTATTTTTTAAATGTACCTCTGTGAGCTATGAGGTATGGTTTGGTTGAACAGTGAGCATTTTGCCACCTTGGAAACTGTCATGTTCTCCAGGCACAATATTCTTTCTTTTGCTAGTTAAGTTACTTGTTCAGCAATAGCTAAGCTAGGAGTTGTACTGAAATGGAACCATGTATTTCTCTCTTTATGCAGGTTATGCTAAGGTCTTCATATTTTTGTTGATGCTTTTCTCTGTAACCTGCTGTTGCAGTATTTCTGCCATTGCTTCTGTGATTACTATCAGGACTGCTCCAAGAAATTCGTTCAGGGCACCTAATGATGCTGTCTTGGTTTCTTCTTGTTTGTTTGTTGGGTTTTTGTTGGGGGCTTTTTCGTTTGTTTTCATGAGTCATAGCTTTCAGTTACATTACAGGTTTGTATGTACTTGTGTAAATTAATCTTAGATTTATTTTTTTCTACTTTGAGAGAGGAGAAAATGCCAACAGTTGGAACTTATAAGCAAGCAGTTTGAAAAGATGAGGCGAAGATTCCAGAAAGAGATAGAAGAGTTACGCACTAAACTGACAAAAGCAGATGATGAAAATTCTTCTTTGAAGAGCAGCATGGCTCAAAGGACCAGCCAGTTTCAAATCATACAGGAAGACCTACTGAAGAAGGCTTCAAAAACTAGTAGCTTAGAGAAAGAAGTAAGTTTTTAGCAGCACTGAAAAAATGTCACTACTTCTTCATTTCAGTAAGCAAAGATAGTGAAGACAATAGTTATTGTCTTCAATAACTGTTAACTGTAATTGCCGTATTCATTTTAAAATCTGATTTATTTGAAAAAAATCTGAATTAAAGTTTTCAGCAAGCAGAAAAATTTAAAGATAGAAGCCTCAGTTTATTAACTGTTGGAAATGTGGTTTTAAAGCTGATGCAGTGGTGGGCTTCTCTACTACTACTTTGATTTGTTATGTGGAAACTATGCTCAGTCTCGTTACTTTGGTATGGTTTAATTGATGTGTAATCTTAGGAAATAGATGTTGAAATACACTTGTATTTTTCCTTATTTAATGTTAGTACAGTTGCCAGAGATAAACATCATTACCAGAGAGTCACAAATGAAAGAAATTAGGCTTCAGCTCATCTCAGGTTGAATAAGTTAAAATACTAATGTTTACATTCTGATGCTAATGTGTTTATAGAGTTCGGCATAATGGGATTTGAAGTATTTCCTAATAATGGACATAAATATTATAAATCTGTAGTAGCTATTTTGCTCACAGTTATCATTAATTGGATAAATTTTAGGTAAATTGTACTGAATCTTTCTCTTTAAGTAATAAAATTTAATAGTTCAACAAAACAAATGATTAATTAAAAATGCTATAGTAGTACCTAAAATGGAACCGGTGATAAGAAAGTATATACAAATACTTGAATAAACCCCTAACAGTTGTTTACATGCTGTTTAGTGCCATGTTTAATTTCAGATGAGAAAGAAATCTTCTCAACTTTCTGAACTTGAAGAACAGTTGGAAGAAAAGACTATTGCTTATTCCACTGCTGCAGCAAGAAATGCTGAGTTGGAACAGGAACTCATGGTAAAATGTTCTCACTGAGAAACTATATTTATGTAAAAAGACAAGTGGAGATTAAAGTTTAACTTAACAGTAGTATTCAAAATGGATAGACTTTCAGATCTGCTAAATAATCTGTGCAGTTTTTAGGGTATGCAGTCTTTAAAAACTGAATCTTGTTTCAAATAAAACATTCCTTTTTCCCTGCCTTTGAATGTGGTAAGCTATTAACGAACATGTTACTTTTTCCTTATGATATGTGCAATGAAGATCTGGTCCTATTGAAGTCAATTGTAGCATTGCCATTTGTTTCAGTGAAATACATGTAGATCTGTGACTAAAATAGTCTTCAAAATGCTATTTTAAATGTGCCATCTCTCCATGGGAGGGTAGAATTTCTTTTTATCTTTGTCAGAAGTTATCTATGCCATAGTCCACCTTGGCAGACACCTTGTCTCTGTAGCTGCTGCTTCTACTGATCTTCTCTACCTGTGTTACAGGCGTGACATCCTTTGAGATGACACATGCAGTGTGTAACTTCAGTATTTTCGGTGTTGTTCTTTTACAAAATCTAGAAACTAGATGATCAAATAAACTGCTAATATCACAAAATACTTTTATTAAGTCTTTCTATTGTTGCCGTTTCCCAGGAAAAAAGCAGACGCATTCATGAGTTGGAAGCAACTATCAGTGAAGAACATAAGAAAATAAATTCTGCTTTTGAAGATGCAAAGTTGGTTCACCTTGAGCAGCATAAAGAGATGAAGAAACAGATAGAACTAGTAAGACCTTGTGTGCTAGTATGTATGAGTGTTATACTTGGTAACTTTTTCCTATGTTAATTTCTTTGTCTTTCTTGTAATTGTAATTAAGAAGTTCATTCTTCTCCGTAGGTTTCCTGATTTTACTACATTTTCCATCTAACTCTGCACAACTGTCCTTCTGAAATATTCATATCCTCTTTTCTGCTCAACTAAAGAGAAGTAAGAACTTAGGAAGAGTGCTGTTGTTCTTTGCTCCAAACAAAGCAAAAAAAAAAGTATAGCTTTATTGCCTACTGGATTTAAACCATGACAGCTTCTAACAATGTTTTCTTGTTGGCTGAACCTCTGCCAGCCTGAGCCTTATGAGCATCTGTGTTCAGGGAGAATACTTGGTAGGTTTTTCATTCTTTGAAGAAGAATTCTGTTGCTTCATGTGATTAGAAATATAACTGAGGCTATTTCTAGCTGTTCAAGAAGCCTGTCATCCTTTACTAAAGAATGTATGCATGTCTTGACTGATGACAGATTATTGCACTCTGTCTGCTCTCATTCTCTTGATTCTCCTCTTGATTTAAGACATTAAGAGTTTGGGATTTCTTGATAATTTTAAGATTGTGCAATACTGCTGATGGCAAGAGTGTATTTACTTTTCATTAGAAAAGTGATGGGTGAATAGAACTGAATGACATTTAGATGCAAAAATTCTTATCTAAGTAATAAATTATGATTTACTTATGGACAGCTTCAGACACAGCTGGAGCAGAAACATCAACAATTCATTGAACAAGAGAAAATAATATCTGTTTTACAACAAGAGGTTATACATAAACAGCTTCATTACATTGAATCATTGGATGGGCTGCTGATAGGAAGCAGAGAGGTAAGGTTGGCTCTTGACTTTGTTTAAATGCAAATTGAACAAGTGACTAATAATAATGAAAAGCACATCCATAAATACATGGGAAAATTGGAGAAAATTAAAGATGCTTATGTTTTTGCTTTTTAATTCTTGTTTGACTAATTGACTGAATCTAGTATAGTCACCAGTTACTGCTGCTACTACTATATATTGTACAAACTTCAGTGGCCTTTCATTTTTTTTCTATCTCAGCATTCTCTTTATGTCTGTGGTTTGCCCCTTGTGCTTCTTGCTCTGATCAAAGGAAACAGATCTGGATAAAGAAAAGTTGCATCTATTCTGCACTAGGTGGAAAATCAAGAATGTTCTAGTCTGATAATGCCTGCTCTGCAGAATATGAAGGGACGTCTGTCAGGAACCAAATTTACTTCAGAGTATCATGTACACAAATACATTATAGAAGCAATTGTGTTTAAAATACACTGATCTGGGTTTTTTCCCTTGATTCTTAAGATGAGTTTTTATTAAATTACTTTTACTGTATATACATTTTGTTCTCTTGAATAAAAATATGTGTACAAACAGGAAATGGAAAATCAAAATGTCAAGAAAGATCAAGGATTGAAGATGCTGGGAAGTCACTTAACAGAAGAAACAATCAAAGTTAAAAAGTTCTTTGTTATTTTCAATTAATAGTTTTGAAGTTTGCAGTAATGGTGTATTTCCTTTTATCCTCTATAGAAGAAATTTTTTATAGAAATTTGTCTTAGGTAAATATTTCAGAAGTCATTGACCTGAAGTTTTTCCATTTTTTTCTGTTGTTTCTTTTTGGTTTAGTTTAATTTTTTTTGATTAAAACAAGCATGGTGAAACCTACAGTAAGGGATCATGCAATGCATAATTGCTTTATAAAATTATTGTAGTTACAAATAGGACAGACTTGTGCTTATTGTACTCTCAAAGTACAACTTTGTCTAACAGAACTAATGTTATGTATCTTTTTTGTCTAGATATGGCATATATTTTAGAGATATATGATGCTATAATATTCGTCACGTTTTTAGCCATCTATACCTTTTCCTAGAGTTTGCCTGATAAATATTTTCCATGCAGCACTTTCAACAGTATCTTAATGAACCAGTGCCATGTGGTGATTTACCCCAGTGAGGTTTCAAACAGTATTAAATCTCCAGGATGTCGGCAGGAGAAGATACTGGGGTCTCAGCTGTTAGCATGCTCTTTCTGAGCTTGTGTTGGACCTGTTTGCTATCCAAGTGGCTTTGTAGTATTTGGGACGTTTTACAGAGACTTAAAATTAAGACCCATTGTAATTTCTCTTCAACAAAGTCTTGAATGGGATGGGGAGAGAGAGATATACAGTCCAGTGTGATTTAGAAAACTGGTAGTCTGATTGCAAAATGGAAAGCGTCAGCCAGTCTGCAGCTAAATTCAGCACAATTCTCATTGATGAGAAGTCTTAGTATCGCAACCAAATGGTTAAGAAAAGCTTAATTACTATGGCTCAAGACCTTTGGGGGTTTGTTAATTATAATTTTTATCTGTTTGAGGTTATAAGGTATTTTTTAGAGAGACTCAAATTCAAATTAATATTAAAAGGGTAAAGCAGATTAACAGTGTTGACATTGCTCAGAGCTCTTCCTTTCCCTTTTGGTGAAACTCTGGCCCTGTCTCCCAGTGCAGAAAGGGAAAACATGCTGTTAATAACTTTCTCAAAAGAAGTGTATCAAGAATGTTATTTTTGTATCTGAGTGTTATTTTTGGAAAACATGTGTCAGCTCACGTATGATGATAATTCCAAATTTATTTATATAGTTCTATATATAACAACCTATGATGGATTAATGATTTGGTATTGGGCATATGTCTGCTTTTAAATTCTAGCTACTGACAAATATTGGAATCTCTTCTCGTAACTGATAGTCTCATCTTGTTTAAACACAGTCTAAAGTACTGTAATTGAATTTCACAAATAATTTTAATTTCTGAATACTATTTCAGTTTTAAAGTTTATCATAATCTTCCATGACTATTTTAATACTCTTTGGATAAAAATGTAGCTTTTTGGACATTTTATACGAATATGACTTTTAACACAATTTTTAGACTAGCTGATACAGACCATGCCATGCAATTTTAAGTGATCTATTGCATCCAACTAGGTACAACAACTCAAGTCAGCATTAAAGGTATGTAAGGAAGAAGTTGTAATGTATTTGAGTCAGTCACAAGAAAATAAGGAGGTATTTGAAAATCAGCTCAAAGACAGGTCTGAAGAGGTAACAGCTTGTTTTACAACTCTTCTGTATTGCAGAGAACACTTGTTATGATTGATTTAATCTGAAAGTTTGTAAAATAACAGCGAAAACATTTGCAACAGGAACTGTGAATAGGAAGTAAGCTGGGAAAAGATGATGCATTTTGTGAGGGTAAAGGGGAAAAATCATACTTAAGAAACACTGGATAAGCTTAGGGAAAAGAAGCACCCAGATAAATGAATTGTTGAAAGAAGTAGCAAATCAGAATTATGTGAAACAAAGCATTCTCTTGGGGAAAAAAATGGAGGGAGCAGTATTGCAATATAAATTTAGGTGCATATAATTGATTTGTTTTTCAACTATCTTAATGGGGAAGAAGTCCTGGGCATAAGAAAATGTTTACTTCAAGCCCCAGAGTTTTATCATACTTTCCACTACTACATGAAAGCAAGAAGGAATTGAGTTTAAATATTAGGATGAATTTTTCTTTGTGAGTATGCCCAACCACATGAACTAATTATATAGTAGGCTCTTCATGTCAGTGCTGACCTGCTGAGAGAGAGGCTTCGGTCAAACAGAGATTGCCAGACCCTGAAATTAAAAAATCTCTTATGCATGTTCTTAAAACATTGACAAGCTATATTTAGAAAGCAAGAATCAAAAACTGGGACCGCTAAGTTACCGCTATCCTAACCTACTTTATAAAGCACAACTCAGGGATGAATTATGAGGTCTGTTATGTACTGTTGCAACTGTAATGCAACTAAATTCAGAGCCAGAAGTTCTATTGAATCATAGATGTGATCCTGTGCTCATTAAGAGAGAATAGCTATGCAAGTGAAAATAAAAATGTTTTATTTTAATGGAAAATAAATGTCTTTTCAGCTTCATTATTTGCAGAAAGAAATAAAAATAAAAGATCAGAATATTCAGGACACGAGTGAACAAACTATTCTCCTACAAACTTTGCTTCATCATCAGCAAATGTTACAGCAAGAAACTATTAGAAATGGGGAGCTGGAAGATAATCAGATTAAACTTGAACAACAGGTACAGTATGGTGAGAAGTGTCTACATAAAGAGAGAAAATTAAATGCCTTTAGATATGTTTTTGTAATACCTTTAAAATCTGAATGTTTCTTTGATAACTGAGTTGATAATTATGATTTTAGATATATCTAAAATAAAGAGTTTAGTGGTCTGTTTTATCTTAAACCAGGTTCTGTGCTATCAGAAATGCTAGCTCGCATTAGAGTGGCTAGGTACTTTGAAAATCAAACCCTAGGCTGCAATTAAGGAGAGGTGCATTTAAATTCAGAAAGTTGTCTCTTGTTATATTTACTAGAAACTATTTGTCTTTCAAATGTGCAAAGTTCTAGTCTTAAATTATATATAGACTATAAAGACATCTGCTGTGTTAAACCCCTCATTATGTTACGTGAGTTGCAAGACAAGGATGTATGTTTCTTTGGAATGCAATTTAAAAGTACTCTGAATACTGTTTGCCAGGTATCCACTTTGGAAAAGGAGCTTCAGAATCAGAAAGCATGTGCAGCAGATGAGTTGAGAAAGGTGGAGGAGAAACTTCGCTTTGCTGCTCAGGAAGCAGATTTAAACGGACAGAAGGTGGATGAACTGAATTGTACAATCAGGTAGGTTCAGTGTAACAGAGGGATGTTCTGCACAGAGACACGGATCAGAAAGATTGCTGTCCGAAATGGTATTCAGCTCTGTAGTTACACACTTCAGCCTCTGTATGAGCATGGACTCAAATTCAGAAGGGAAGCTTCTAAATAGCAGAGGCATGAGTTTCTGGAACAGTTTTCCAGTCGAATTAATGCATATCCTGGCAACTTATTTAGCCTTAAGATGGCACTTCATGATGCAGTTCAATTCATAAATGTATCAACTTGCTTGTAATTGTAGATAGTATATTCTAGGGGAGCTTGCTAGTCTTATAGAATATTGTTTTGATTGCGAGAAAAGCCTACTTAACATGACTTTTTATTTCTATTTTATTCACAAACCCTTGTCTTAGAGCATGTAAGGGTATACACATGTTGCTTTTATTACATGGTTCATTTTTTTCTGGTTGCTTCTATTAGGCAGATTAAATTGGAGATGGATCAGTGCAAGAATGAACTTATTGATATGGAAAAAGAAGTAGTGCAATTACAACAAGATGGTGAAAACAAAACAGTGCAGATAAATCAGTTGGATATCACTTTGGAAGAAGCAAGATCAGAGCTCAATAAAAAGGCAAATGAGGGTAATTTGGCTATTTTGTTTCTCAGGCTTCCTTTCATTATGCTATTTCTGTTTATGTATTAGACATTTTTCCATTTCCCCCTGTTTTATAATCAAGTACATGAGAGTCAAAAAATGATAATTTTTTTAATGTATTAGTAATTCCATAGTTAAAAAAACCCAAACAAACAAAGCCAAAACCAACCAAACAACACCCCCACAATGCAAAAAAATCACAAGCTTTTTTTTAACATACCTTTGCAAATTCTCACTTCTGTGGTATATACCTTTACCCCAGGTGAAATGAATAAGTAGTTTCCCTGTAAATTAGCAATGCAGATTCTTACTGTGATAATCAAATGAGGCACATACATTTCATAAAGGCATATGCTATTCACAAAAATTCAGCTCTTTAAAAGAAACAGAAAATCTCACAAGGGAGTCTGTGGAAATAAACTTTCTAATCCATTCTCTTCCATTTAATTTAATTGTACCATTGTTTTAAACCAGAGGAATACCAGCAATTCTGCTTGCATTTTTCATAGCACTGCATATTCAATTACTGTATTGTCCCTGCACTTTCTCCTTGGCCAGATGTTTTTAGATATATCCTCATATTTCAAGTCATGAATTGAATGAAAACATAGCAAAGACTTACATGCCATAGGAAGGCTTTTGAATAAGAAGTCACTGTTTTTCTAGATTGTCCTAAAAAATACTCATACTGAAAATTTATTATGACCACAAATGCTACTAGGTAGTGGTGTTGCATAAAGACCCTGGCGTGCTGATGATTAAGCATTTTGTCTTTTGTGGTGTGTGTGTGTGTAAAATAGTGAATGATTTAGAAGATAAGCTGCTTCAAAGTGAGACTTGCCACAGGGAAGCCTTACAGAAAATAGCAGAACTAGAATCTGCATTACACAATGCCCGTGGAGAATTAAAAATCACTTTAACACAGCTTCAGGAATTGCAAGATGCATTACAGAATGCACAGTCCTCTCTGGAGGAGAAGCACATTGCTATCATGGAGCTAACAACTGAGCTCAGGTAAGCTGCTATCTTTTCCATCATGAAAACTTACTTGTGTTAATTTTTCCTTAGGAATAGCAAGTAGCTTGGATGGCTTTTTTCTAATGTTCTTAACAGCTCTCTATAATTTTTAGGTGTTTTTCAGCTATAAGATAAGTTGATACTTGAGCTCCTCAGCTCACTTTTAATTTCTAAAAGTGGTGCTGAATTCTTTTTTAGGAATTCTGTTTTAAAAACTGCTAAAATTATTTTCTGAATCCCAAAGCTGTGAAGCAATTGTACAAAGAATAATGAAATTTTCTAGTTTCCTTTCTGACCACAAATTAATGGTGCTTTCTTCTGTACTATTCTTTTTTAAGAACATGTTTTCCTGATATAGCCAATTAAATAACTTGAATAATGAAGTTGTTGGGAATTCTCCACCTGGAATATAGTAAACAGAATTATTCCATTGGGTTTGTTTCTTTGCAATCAATTAGTTGATTCATGTTTAGGGTAATATGGCTGTAAGTAACAGAGCTAATGATTTCCAAGCTGGATACATGAAGCTAAGCAACTGAATGTGCATTAAGCAATTAAACATATGAGAATTTCAGGTATTGCAAGGGTGAAGTTGAAGACAAAAAACAAGAACTCCTTGAAATGGACCAAGCACTGAAAGAAAGGAATTGGGAACTGAAACAAAGAGCAGCTCAGGTCAGATTATTTTAAGTATGTTACTGACAATTGTTACTGTGATGTAGTAGATAACTTATGAAAAGCCTGCTAGGTTTGGTTGCTTTGAAGTATTGTCTCAAACTGTACTGTTACTGTAGCCACGGAGTCAAGCTCAAAACCAGCTCTGTGTTACTGAAGCCTTATGGTACCAGGAAAATCAGGTTGTGCTCCCCCAAGGGACGACAGAGTTCTGGTTTAAGGAAACAGAAGCCTCATGCAAACCCTTCAATAGTTCTTCATTAGTGATAAAGTTATAAGACAACTGTTCTCATCTTGATGTTTGGTAAGAGGAAGAAAGAGCTGTGCTGAAGTGTGCTTGGAGATGATAGACTCCTTTCCTTGTTTGCACTGGAGCATGTTTGATTAGCTCTAAAGCAGCCTCTAAATATGAAATGGTGTCTTGGTTGAGAATAAATTTCTGTAGCTCACTTGAAATATTTTCAGTCTTATGGTCTGGCTTCTTTGATGCCCATCATGGGAAAATTCTTTTTCTGCCACTTATAATTAGCCTCTTCCTGCAGGAGTTACTAGCCTTTGTATTCAAGGATATTTGAGGTTCAGAGAGGAGGAGTGGAGATTTGAATAAATCTGTTTAAGCAACTGACACTGTAAGGAGGCCAGATCTTGCAATATATTTTTGCCACAGTATCCTGTGAGCTGCTCCAGGAATTCATCGAAGCTTTTGATGAATTGATGTTTTTTTTTGGTTTGGCAAAATCTGTCACTTTCTAACAAGAGGGATTTGTATAATTACTCATTATATTTCTTTTAAAATGAGATATAGGCTTGTATTCTGTATATATGAGGACCTAACATATTCAGTTATGGATTTTTTTCCTGATTTTCCCCTTTTCTTTTTATTTTTGGTCACTATTTTTTTAAACAACATAGCTAGGGTGCAGTTTTATATTGACTACTCCAGAGAATACTCTTGAGGCTACAAAGGATTAATTTCATTCATTTTGCTGTCATAGTTTGTAATATTGCTTCTTAAAATCTACATACTAATTCAAAATAAAATATTTCCTTTTCTTCCTTTCTTACCTGTAGATTACACAACTGGATATGACAGTTCGTGCATATAGGGAAGAAATGGAACAACAAATAATTCAGTTACAGTGCAATTTAGAAAAGTCAGAGTTGGAAATCAAGGAATGCAATAAAAAGGTAATTCTCACTTAATTAAAAACAGTCTCCCTAACAAAGGGCAGATAATTTCATGAGAAAGTCTGGTCCTGGGACACAATAGCTGGACAGGTTTAATCTAGAAGATGAAAACTGGTTTCTTATTGTAGGGAGAGGGAAGGCAGTACCTTAATAATGTACCAGCAAAACCACTTCATTTGTCAATTGAAACAATAAATTTTGCAGGGATATAACAGTGCAAAAACAAAAACTTATTTTTTCACTTGATATGATATAGCTCCCAGACTGCTCTTTTGGTAAAGGAACATGTTGACAAAATAAAAAATTGACAAGGGAATCCAAAGTCAGTGGTAAAACTGATGGTTATTTGTGAGTTTTCTTTGTTTTGTGGTTTTGTTTTTTTTTTAAATCATTCTGACTTTGGTAAAATATCAGTTCTGATTTAATTGCATTTTCTGTTCAGATTGAGAGCTTAGAGAAGAAACTTCAGCATTCTAAAGATCAGCTTCGTGAAAAAGAGTTTGAATTGCTCCAGAGAGACCAAGAAATAAATCAGCTGAAGAAAAAAAAAATCAAAGAAAACAACATAGCCTAGAAGCTCTTGAAAAGGTAAAATGTACATAACAAATTATCAATTTTTAATGCCATTACTGTACCTGCCTAGAAGGAACTATACAGTGTCTCTTTAGCATAAGTGTCATTAATTCTCCCAGAATCATTGTATTTTATATACTGGTGTTTGCTGAATCTTAATCCCCTGAAGTTAAACCAGTTTAGTTATTTAAAAATTACAGATTTAATGGCACACTCTTAATTGTCTGCTTTCTGTGGAGAAATTTGAATACTGATTATCTTTAGTAACCCTGTTTTCTGACTGTGGACAACATGGTCTTCCTTGAAATGAAACAAAACAAAATGCTGTATAATGAGGGCTTCTCATGATTTAGGCACTATCTTGCAAAAATTATTGCATCCAAAGAGCCCTGATATGTGGCATGTTTATAGGAACAAGAAGTGAGAGTTTTTTGGTATAGTGAATGGGAGCATATGGATAGAATAAACTTTATAGATGACTTTATGAATTATATAAATCTTTGGTTTGGTGCATGAATCAGTCCCTACAAATATAAATGTGACCTGAGATAAGTAGGCTTTGTGCAGATGATTGCCAGCTAGAGGTAAACTCCAAAGCCCCAACGGCTCCTGCTACTTTGGTTGTGCTGCATTTGTGTGTTTCTTTTCCCTAGGGTGAGATATCAGAGAAGGCTTATTTCTGTGTGGTCACCAAAAGCATTTGGTCTGCATTCTAGATCATGGAGGCTTGGCAGTGTAACAGCTGAATATGAAGGTTGTTTCACTGCCAATTAAAGCAGTGTCAGCTCTCCCATCTTGTTTTCTGTTAGGTTGTTTCTGACACTCGAGAACAGGACAGTGACTGCTGCTACTGTTCACACATATCATTAACATATTTCCAGCTTTTCCTAAGGGATGATTCTGAAGGAAAGAATTTCCTAGCTAGCCCCTGTACAAGTGCTGACTAGACCCTTTCTTTCCAGACAAATTGCCTTGTTATTGTTTTTGCTAAGGAATACCAGGTAGGGAGAGGCCTTAGAATGATATAAGAAAGGCTTTGAAAATAGACCTACTCCAGTCATGTTCCTTTAGAGACTTGGGATGAAGGAAAAGAAATTTTAAGTTTATTTTCATTGTAATGAGGTGGATAAAACACTAGATTTTGGAAGCATTCTGCATAAAATACAAAATACATTGCAGAGGGCTTCTGGCTCCACTTAGAATATGATGTGGTTCCTTCTTTGTTTAAAAATTGTGTATATTAACATGATATAAGAAAACACTTTCTCCATTAGTAACACATTGCAGACTGACTGACCAGTCTTCCACAGAAACTTTCTGTCCTAGTTCTAAAAACTCAATTGCCTAATTTATCTAGGGAAAAGGGGTAGGGGCTGTGTGTGTCTGGCCCGGGGGAGTAGTCTGTCTCATTCTTTTTCCTCTTAATACACTACTTTGTCTGCTTATTACAGAAAATATATTAGTTCAGGGAAGGAATTGCTAGAGAGGGTTGATTTCTGTCCTAGTCCACTGTGCCCCTTTGGGACTCATGAAATAACCAGGTCACAGATTTTTTCAGTTGAATCGTTCTTTGTTCTTACTCTGCTTCAATCTGCAGTGAGGATCTTGTAACAGTTCAGCACTCTGCTACCCTTCGAAGTTGTAAGTATTCCAAATAAAGGAACTGAAAATACCTTAATGAACATTAAGAATGGGTTTTTCATTTTTCTGGGAAATTGAAGTAATTTCCTTTATTTAAAAAAAAAAAAAAGGCAGATTGGACTTATAGCAAACTAATTTTTTGTGACCCCAGTTTCTTCTGATATGAAAAATGAAATTGTTTAAAAACCTAATGTTAATGTAAACATGGCTGCTGTGTATCATATACTAAAGAGACTGAATGCTCTTTCTATAAATGAACTGTTGAATAATTAGATCCACCATGTAAATTTGTTTTTTGAAGCAGGGGTGGGAGGAAGCTAAAGCTCTAGAAACAAAAAAACCCCACCCAACCTCAAACATACTGTGTTTGGCTGCATTTATTTCTATGTACTGTAGAAAATCCAGTTTACATTCACGTTGCTATTTTTCTTGCTTTGTGCTGGTAAACATCATAAGCTTTCTTCCTTTTGATACCTTGATACTGTTGATGGGGTTTTTACAAACACTTCCTGAATTATTAGAATCTCGGGTTGCTAGGAACTTAAACACAAATGAAATCCAACATGAAATCTTAAGCCTTACACAGAGGAGCAATTTCAAAAGACAGTGCTCCTTTAAACTGTACAAAATTTTTACAGGGATTTGCATATGAAGATTTCTTAAAATATTCCACATAACATTTTCCTACTTATCTGCTAGAACTTAGTATGTGTTGGAAAATTTGTAAATTGTGCTCATTTGGAAAGCAAATGTACTTCACTTACAAGAGCAGTGGACAAAAATGCATTAATGTCAGTCTAGGGGTCAGAATTTGAGAAAGCAGCCATGGACTTGAGACCTACTGTTAGTTTTCTTGAATTTGTAAAATAAATCTTAATAATGAAAAGTAATATCTTGTTACAAATTGATTTAGATATAATAATTTGAATGCAGAAGTTTAAAGGAAGGTTCTGATCACAGACACTTTGTTTCAGGGGCAAGAACTGTGAAGAAATGAATGTTGCCCATTGGACAAGCAGCAACCCAGGAATGCTACTGCTGGCATCATTATTGTGCATTCCAAGAGGAAATGTTAATGTTGTATTTCTAAAGAAGGAATGCAGTTATTTGTACTGAAGCAGATGATACCCTTTTTATTTTTCCAGCTGTTTTTAAGATTATTGCCTTGATTTAATAACATATTAATTTATTTTATATACTTTAAAAAAAATTATTTCTCTTAAGTTGTAGGAATTAATTTCAGCTCTCGTCTTTTTCCAAGGATTTGGAATGGTGTACTTGTTTCGTATCTCACTTCTAATTAAAAACACAATGGTATTATTAAGAATTTTTGTTTGGGAATATTTTATCTTCTTTTTTTTGTACATATGCAGTGTTGCAGACACAACATCTTATTAAAATTGACCTGTTTGCAAGATGTTTTAGGACACTGATTTGATCACAGACACTGGGAAAACCTGCTTGCTTTATTCCAAGCAGTATCTTTAAAATGCAAAGGAACAAGGCCATAAAGCTTTCTGAGCTTTGAGCTTTTTTTTATTTCTAACAAAAATCCCTACAAAAATTATCATAGATTAAAATGGCATCATAATTATGCATTCTAAAACATATTTATTTCCATTTTTCCAAAAGTACTACACAATTTAGCTGTATGAATGCCTGGTGGCCCCACTTTTATATTTATATGAGCATCAGAAACTGCAAATGTGGTTATGAGGCCTCAATCTAAGTCTGAATAATGCATACATGATTTATGTGCATTAAGACGTGATTCATACTTCAGAAAATCAAGTTAATAAAGTTACTTGACTTGAGGAACAGAATTGAATGTGTTGTAATTTAAATCCTAGGCCTCAGTTAAGTGTTTTGTACATTAAAAGTGAATCTTGGCCAACAAATATATCTATTGTGTTTCTGCAACTCTGCAAGTGGTCCTGTGCCAAAGTCCTTGGGCAGTCATAGGCCTTTCATTGTTTATGTAAACACGTTCCACAAATGCCACACTCTAAGTGGTTCTACAAAACAGCCACACATTCTGCTACCATTGACAAGGTCAAGATACACTTATCTAAAATATTTCTGCAGTTTCAGATTATTTAATCTGCTATTATGAAAATTATGATGTAGTGAAAAATATTGTTCCTTACAGAAATATATTGCATGTTTTACATCAAGCTGTAAGTTTCTCTACATAATAGTAAAGGAAAAACATTAGAATTAGGTTGACCGGTGTAATAATTGCAAATTAAACTATTATTTTTTTCCTCTTTAGGCACATCACTTTGCCTTCAGGCTAGAATTCTATGCATCAAATTTCAGACAGATTTTTTTTAAAGCAGTGGAACATATAAGCCCTTCAAACCAGGATTTCAAGTGGAAAATACAACCAATCTGTAATTACAGCTGCATTGCAACACTAGTGGAATTCCACTAACTAGCATTGCATAAAGCCTCGTTTGCTCCTCCTACATGCACTAAATATAAATGTGCATGAGCAGCAAAAGCAATTTGCCTAATCTCTGAATCAGCTAAATAGCATTTGCACTAAAATTTTGTCTGTATACTAACTTATCTGGTTAAACTGTGGGTCAAACCTGATAAATAAGCAGAATCATAATTACGTTTTCTCTTTAGATGTTGTGCTATTTTATTGCTTGCCTGAGAAGTTAATGATTCCACTTATACTGTTCAAGTCAATTTATTTCTTTTGGAAAGGATGGAGTTGGGGTTTTTTTAACATAATTTCAGTTAAATGTTTCTGTAAGGTCCTACTTTTCTTGAATTACTAATGAATTTACTTCTCTGCAAATCCTGGAACACTAAGTTCATTTTTCTGAAGTGCATTGCATCACATGGGATTGCTGAGTCTTGGAAAACATTTTACTGGGGATAATGGCATTGCAATTAGCTGAATGCCGTTCATAAGGCTAATTGCTTTTCAAGGTCTTTCTTTTTTCCGTCACTGAGGGCAGAAACAACAGACTGAGTTTCTTTCTGCAATGTACCTGCAGTTACTGTATGTTAAGTTTGCATTGCACCAAAGTGCCAGTCCAAATGCCCCTCTGTTTAATCCACAGTTTATATGCAAAATTGGTGGAATATTTTCTCCAAAACTAGAATGGTCCAAAACTCAGACATCATGCTAGTTCTGATTTTTTTAAATTTCCATGTTGTCATTTGCAGAATCGGAAGTGTTGAAAGAGATTCCAGTCTTAGCAAGCACGTAGTGAAGCTGGTCTGTTCAACATCTTCCTGTCAGTTCTCCGCTGCCAGTATACTTGCTTGCTTTCTCTGTTCTTGGTTGGGAACACTGCCAAAAGGAAATGTGAGGAATCTGTCCAACAACTTGTCTCTTTCAAAATCCACATCCCATTTTTCAATTATTTGTTTTCTGTAATGGCTACTAGGACTCATAATAGTAAGGGATGGGGAAGAAATCCATTCCTCATTCTGTTGCAAAAGAACAAAGAGGGTGCAGTAGGTGTAGAAAGTCTGACCAGCTTTAGCGGAGGGATCCCACTTTGGGTGCAGTTTACTTTCCATAAATATGAGTGTAAGACTCGACACTACAGACTGATTGTAACTGTGGCAAGGCTTTTCCTGCCGGTATTGTGCAAGCTGGTTATTCTATTAAAAAAAAATCCATGTAGTTTACAAATGTCTTATTTTTAAGTTTAATCAAATTTTGTATTAAATATAATCCGTGTTGATAATGCAGTTTATAAGCACATGCAGGAGCATCTGCTTCTGTTTTTGTCTAGTTGGAGATTATCCCTTAATCATGCAAGGCCCAGGTGTGCACTTTCAGATTTGTTGACTCAGGGAAGCTGGAGATAACATTAAAGACCAGTCACATTATACTGTAGTCACATTTAGGTTGTTGCTCCTCTGAAGAAGACTCTTGCTTGAACCACTCAGTGAAAAGAATGGCAAGAAGAAATGTCCTCATTACAGGTTGCTCCTCAGGAATTGGACTGGCATTAGCTGTAAAAATGGCAAAAGATGAACAGAAAAGATTTAAAGGTAACCATGTATCTGTTATTTATCTTTATAAAAAGATTCTGTTCAAGACAGTGCTGTTTTTCCTTCTGTGATTTTACAGGCAGTTGTATTCAGCTTGGTGACTTGTTTCTTGTTAGTTTTCCTCTTTTACTCTCAAGAAAATACAATACAGTGAAAAATATACTGTTTTCTGTAAGCAGTTTATATTTCTGTAGCTGTATTGAAACTGAACAACTACTGGAAGTGAATAAGTTTACACACACACTGAGAAAAGATGGGAACATAAAACTGAATAGCTGCAGATCTCTGTAGTGTGCTACCTCAGATACACATTCACAGCTTTGCTTGGGGCTCCTAAAATCTGTTGAATGAAATGTATGTGCCCAGGCCCATTTGAGGACCAAAGGAGGGAATTTAGATAAACAGTTCCTAAATTTGCAGTTTTTTCTTTAAAGCACATCATTATTCCAACTCTGTGCAGGCATAACTGGGTGAACAAAGGGACTGGGATTTGTCTTACTGCTGCAAAACAGGGTATTTGCTATGATTGAAAATGGATGGCAAGGTGAACACAGCAATCTGTGCTAATTCAGTTTCTCATACTTACTTTCACAGTTTTTTACTGCTAACTGACTGGATGTAGATTCAGAGCTTTCCGAGTAATTAGGCCACAATAATGTTAAAACTAATTTCTATTTTGAGAAGTAGTTTGCAAAAAGTAGACATTTTTTCAACCTAAGGAAGTATTTGTCTTCCACTTTTTTAATAAAATTATGGTTGGTCTACTAAACAGGTTGATGGTGATTTGAAACAAAAAAAGAAAGAGATAGATTTTGGGTACCTAAAAACAATTTAACCGTATAACTTGATATCCGTTACTTAAATTTTGGTGATAATATTATCTTTATACACTGCATTCTTCATTGTGCATAGTGGTTTAATTCTTCTTTTGAATTTCTTGAAGATTTCAGAAACAGTCTCTGGGAAATCAGTGACAATATATGTTGAAAATAGTCTTTTTACTTCTAGTTTTTATCTGGTTTCTATCACTGATATTTAAGATCTGGATGTAAAAGCAATATTCTTTAATACTTCTCTGTAAGACTGACAGAGTAAAGATTTTATTTCTGATAACTGTTGCTTCTGGTGTTTTGCAGTTTATGCCACAATGCGGAATCTGTCCAAGAAAGAGCCACTGGAGGAAGCTGCGGGTCACAGGCTGGGCAAAACCCTCGAAATTAAACAACTCGACGTCTGTGATGAACAGTCTATTAAAGCTTGTGTGAACAGTATCCCTGACAGAAGGATTGATGTCTTAGGCAAGTACAGGATGTGTGTGCTATGAACAGATACCAGATTTCTATATATCATCATCTCAAATAACCTGCAGAAGTTTCATTAGTGTAGTTTTTAAATTATCAAAGTAATAATAATTGTGTAGTATATTCTGTTCAAGATTTTAAGACTTCATGCAGACATGAGTAGATTAAATCCAACCCTGCTTTCATGAAGTAGGGAAGCTTATTTTCCTTGTTTATAAAGGAGAAATTTGATCACAGGGAAGTCTTGGATAAGATGATACAGTTTTTAGTAAATGTGAGAACTTTTGCCTAAACCAGCACCTTCATGGGCAAAACAAAAAAACCCCACTCTATTGATGAAGCAACAACTCTTTGTACAAAGAAAGCAACAGCATTTGGGAATTAGCAAGTAAAAGAACAAATGCAAAGAAAGTAAGGATATCTTCACTTTGTATGGAGAATTTAAATTCTACTTTACAAATAATTCAACAAGAAGTGTTTTCATACTGTTTTGCTAAAAATAAATATTAATATCTTAGTAAGATGGAAATTGCTTACACCATCAGCTATTAAATCTTCTCTAATAGAAAATTATGGATCTACATTTATTTTGATTAATTATTAAAGGAGTGCTTAACAAGCCGTTTCTGCAAAATGTATTATACTCTAATTTGACATACTACTTGTAATGCAGAATGCCAGTCCTATCATCATTCTCCACTTACAAATATCCAGGAGACAAATAAAAATCAATAGAAGTGTGTGTTTTGTTCAGTTGGTTTGTTTTGTTGGGGATTTATTTCCTCTTGAAGATATGAATGTTAAGAAAACAAAAAGCAGACCACAATATGGCCCAGTCTATCATGTTTTGAAGACTTCTGTTCATTCTTATGGGTATTGACTGTAACTTTTAATTCTTAATACTGAATTATAAACAAATACAGGTAATTCTTGTCTCATTTTCCTGTAATACTTTAGTAATTTTTTTAAAAAAGGACTAATCAGAAATAAATTAGTTAAA